CCTCGCTGTAGGACAGAGCTCTGCGAAGTCTTGAGAGCGGGTGTTGTGCAGTTTTGTTCTGAGTTTTGTTCCCATGCATTCTGCTCTCCGACGCAGTCTGAGGATGCGTCTGCGGCTGAGGCGCGAGTTCTTGGGTAACAATTCGGTTTCATGCAGAGTTCCGCATCCAGCAGCTTTCCTTCAAGGAGAGGTTTCTTGCAGGAGCTGATGCTGTTCAGGGACACTCGGCCTTTGCAATGTCTTTCCAGACTGAAGCTGCGGCGAAACAAGACGGCAAGGCATTGCGGATTGCATCCAGAAAGCTTGGGCGGTTGTTTGGCGTGCAGGGCCTGGAATGGCGGTCTGGACTTTGGGTTTCAGGGAGGGTTTCAGGATTTCCGGGATGTTCCGGCGGCTCGTGGCTTCCCGCACCCTTGAAAGGGGCAGAAAGAAACACCACACGTCAAGCGCAGCTTCGTTGTGTCCTTTTTGGGGTTTGGGGGCCTCCCAGAGTGCTACAATCCTCCAAGACTACCCGGCACCAGAAACACCGCAACACTGACACTCGCAGTCGGATGGCAAGTTCGAGCCGCCTTTGGACGCTCTGTGCCTTGGCCAAGTTCCCTGCAAACTTGAGAAGGGTCCGGGCAATGGATCCCGGAAAATTGAGGCTTCCCTTCAAAAGGGCTTCAGAAATGAGGCAGGAAGTAGCTGCGCACTCTCAGCCGCAGGACATTCTGGCTCTCCTCCATCCACGTTCATGCTCCCGACGCGGCTCGGCTTTGTGTTTTTGGGGGTTCTGAAGCAAGTGCTAGTTGCACAGAGCTAAGGCACTTGTTTTTATCGTGGGCACCCATGCCGACGTCATTGCGGACCGCCGTGAGGAGGTGGAGGCAGGCGAGCTTCGTGATCGGTAGTGTCATGGGCTCATTCAAAAGCAAGTGGTACGTGGGGGACGAGCCTGCAGCGAGTTCTTTACCTTTTTTGGGGTCTTATAAAGACCCTCAGTCCACGCTCATGATCCGGCACCTTCGACAAAACACGGGTCCCAAACATCGAGTTTTCACAAGACCGCTTCAAGAGCTTTCCAAAGTTCCTCCGCCGGAGGAACCCGGAGGCCACACTTTAACTTATTTATGAGTTCGTCTTTGGGACTGCATCATGAGCTCTTCTCTTCATGAGCTCGTCCCATGGGCATACGGACCATCATGGAGGCGGAAAGGAAGGTGGATGTATGATGCTCACAAACTCCATGGGCAGTGTCCTCCCGAACAGAACCGAAGCCCAGCAATCCTGGTGCAACATTATGAAGGAAACTTACCTGGAATGGCTTCCGGTCCTGGTGCATTTTATGGAACTACCTGGAGAGGCTCTCCGGAGCTGGAAATCCTTCTCCTGGCTCATTTTATGAAGCGCAATTCCAGCATCGCTCATCTGCTGGCGACTCTTCCGCCGGCTCTTGCTGCAGCTTTTTGAGCCGAAGAATCCCAAGCCACCCCGCAGCGCCCTGAAAAAAAATTGCCTTCGCGACAAAGGCATGGCCGTGCCACACTTGGGGGGCAGATTCGGGGCAGAAAGTGGAGAAAGAGCGACACCCATCTCCTGCATCTCCTGCAACGCAGGCTCGGATTGAAGAAGAAATCGCAGGGAACCCAGTGCTCTCCGAGGTCTCCTCTCTCCAAGTCTGCACCTTGAGTTTAGGGTTTAGGGTTGAAAGCGTTTAGGGTTGAGGAGAGATCAGCTGAGCTCAGCTGAGCTAGGGGATGTTGTGCTGTGCTCTGCTTGCGGCTGCGGCTGCGGTTTTCGGGAAATCAGGGAGGAAGCGAACACCATGGTAGCCCAAGAGGGTCAGCAGAATTTGAGGTGAGCCTCCTGGAACGCGTGGGAGGTCTCGAGCAGCAGGCTTTTGGACCGTCTTTGGGGGGAATCTGGGTGGGGGTGTGCCCTAAACCCGAAACCCAAAACCCTAAACCCTGAACTCTGCAAACCCTATCACGCAGTGCGTATCTTCTGCGCTCCCTTTGACGGCAGTGATTTTCCTTTCTATTGACAGATATTTCCGGAATGTGTCCCTGCAACATGGCCTAAAAAAAACCTTGAACCCTAAACCTGCAGAGAAGGGCTGTGGGCTGTGGGTTTCGTGGAAGGTCGTGGTGAATGGCGAGGCTGGGCTCTGCTTCTTTCCCGTCGACAACACGGGAGGCGAGCTCTGCTGCAGAACGAACCGTCCCTTTTCAGGGGTAGGCTTGAGCATGTTTGTCAAAATTTCCCTTGATCTCTATAGTAACCTTACAAAGCCATAAAAAAGTTATTGCCCTTTATGTCCATAGAAGCCTTGTAAAGACATATAAAAAATAAGTTCATCCCTCTTCCCCTCTGCAATTCTAGGGTTTCCAAGTATGGGCTCTTAATTTGGGTCCCTTGCTTTTTAGCCCTGAGAACACTATGTGTAATGAGGGCCCATGCCTCGGATCCCCATATAAACAAGGGTAAGGAACCATGGTTCCGACTCCCGACCCACCTCCACATTCATATTTCCATCACAGTAACCGGTGTGGCATGCATTGGGTGTTTGTAGCTCATGTTTGGGGAACCCTGAACCCTAACCTTGAACAGCGTTTTTTTTTTTCAACCCCTCTTTCTTCCCCCACCTAACGGAACGCCCCAAAGCTCACAAGGCAAACCTGTCTTGTGGGATTAGGACCTGGGTTTTCTTTGCTAAAGAGCTACTTCTCAGAAAAATTCGCGGTCCTGTCCTTATATCTCCCACGAAGCGGCTTGCCCGCGTAGAAAGCTCAGCATCAGCCATCAACGGACACGTTGAAAGAGAAGGCCGAGAATATTGGTCAGCGCATGCTCAGGATCCCATGCAAGATCTCCTCACTCATCTCGGGCGAAAAGGTAAAGCAGTCCCAAAAGAATGTTTCCAGGAGAAACCTACACGATCAAGAACGGCTTTCAGCTGGAGACAGGGAGAGGGCATGGGGGGGGCTCCCCGAGCAGAAAGTTGTTTTCCATGTCGAGCGAGTGCTGGGTCCTCTGAGACATCTTTCTCCGACCAGACAGCCTGCTTTCCACACTTGCCATATCCAGCAGAATATATTTCAATCCGAAAGCTCTGAAGCCTGGACAATCCTTTCAAATACGCTTGAAGCCAGGAAGCCAGACGGCCCCCGTTTCCCCTTAATGGTCCTGTTCCCACAATGCAAGGTTCCCCATTTTGTGAGGAACTCTAAAAAGGGACCATGGGAGAGAGAGAGAGAGAGAGAGCTGCCAGTCTGGTCCGCAACACTCCCTTTCCCGACCCACTGCGGAGCTCTGAATTATGCTTCCTTTCTGGGCACCATGAAAACCCCAAAGCCGCCCCAACCTCCCAAATAGAAACACGTGAGTCAGGGAACCCCCAAAACCCTACAACCTACAACCCTAGAACCTAAACCAGTAGAACCCCTTCCTGCAAAAGGGCGGCCAATGAGGTGATGCGCCCGCCTCCGGCATTCCGGAGCTCCGCGCCGCAGTGGATCGGGAGGCCGACCGATCGGAAATTTGACTGCGGACCCTCTTTTGGGGAAATCGGGGTATCCTTTGGGGGTTTGTAGGGTTTGAGGTTTGGGGTGCAGACCCTCTTCAGAAAACAGGGCCTACTGCCGTTTAGGGTTTACGCTTTTTCATGGCCTCCTCGGATTTTAGGAGCTTCGGCCCCCAGCGCCATAAGCACCCTTGAAGCCGGTAACCTTGAACTAAACCCCGCGAAGCCCCAAAACCCTGTCGTCAGCTAGGCGGGTGGCCCAAAAACCCTAAACGCTCAAGCCCCGCCCTCCTAAGCCCCCCCATAATCTCCCTAAAACTAAACCCTAAACCCTAAACCCTAAACCCTAAACCCTAAACCCTAAACCCTAAACCCTAAACCCTAAACCCTAAACCCTAAACCCTAAACCCGAAGAAAACACAGCGGAGGCCGCCGCCTCCCTGGCTCCTGGCGGGCGCTTCGCGCAGGAGCTTCCTTTGCCCTGGCTTCGGCGCCTCCGCTGAAACTCGCAGGGTTTGGGGTTGAGGGTTTGAAGGTCCTGGAGTTTTTGGGGTTAGGATTTGGGGGTGACATTGTAGGGGTTGAGGAGTAGAAGGGGTGACATTTTTGGAACACTGCGGGCGTGCTTCGGGGTGTTTCAGGTTTGTCAAGGGCTTTCAACCTTTTAGGGGGGGGGGGGGGTGTTGTTTGGAATTTTTATTTGAAATCAGGGGCCACCATGCATTCCTCATAGAAACTTAAACGTTCCGAAAAAAATCGAGAATCTTGTTTGCTAGGCCCTCCTTCTGTGCAAGCTCTCGTGACTCGGGCACTTTAAGTAGCGCACCGGACAGCAGGCTCAATCAGCGGCGCGTCCACTCTGAAGGAGGGTTGAGCAAGTTTAGCAACTCATCGTAGAACGTCATGTATCTCTCAGTTCGAGTGCAAACTGCTTTCGCGTTGCCGCGGTGAGCTTGCTAGTCGCTAGCGGCCTACAGCCGTTTGCTCGTGGTGGCCGTGACACTCCCCAAAGCACGTCCGACTCGGTTCTCCAAATCATGGTCTCATTGTTGTGGTGCCCTGATAGGGGGCTCTGTAGAGGCGCCAAGAATCCCCAGCCCCAACGAGTTTCAGTTGCAGGTTGCGAGACATCCTGGAAGATGCCGCTGAAGGACTGATCCAGATTCGCGGCTTAGGGCATTTCGGGTCTAATTGGGGTGCACCTTTCAGTGCTGCATGGTCGCATGTTCAACAAGTCCCATGCCGTGATCGGCAACTGAAAACTCCGAAGGCCACAAGACCAGCCAACCCCCCCCAATTAAACCCCTAAACTTTCATTTTCAACTTGCTACAATAAGAAGCCAAGATGCCCGCGACCCTGATCCGAATTTGTGTTGAAGGGGGGAAGTAAGGAGGAGGTACCTGATACTCTCACTCTCTCTTGAAGAAGTGGTAGGAGAACCTAAAGGTGTTGATGCCACTCACTGCTTTGGGCTGGATTGTTCTTATGCAGAGGAAGCACCGGGGAAGAGAATGAGCTTCCCCCCTTCACGGCCACCTTCGTCCTTCCCCTGGCCGGGAAGCCCAGAGGCTGAGCCCAGGAATCATCATGGGTCATGAACTGAGGGAAGTACGGTTGGGTTTAGAGTTTAGGGTTTAAGGTTTGGGGGTGCTCTTTTTTCTTTTTCTCGAAGTTCAGAGGACGCTTTCCGAAACACCGAGGGAAGGAGGGTTTGGCCTTGGGGGCTTTTCTGGGTGTGGACAGCCTCAGCCTTTTGGCATGCTGGCAGGGGCTTTTTGCGGAAGAGACATATGCTTTGATGGATCTTGGCCGCTGCGAGTATACAGTTACCTGTTCATAGGGTTACCGCTACTTGGAGCCGTAGAACATCTAGGGCCGAAGGTAGCTGTTCTTGTTCCAGAGAGCCAGAGCTCTTCATGAACCTGAGCTAGTTGGACAAGACCATCATGCACAGGGCGCCTCCTTTATCAGAAGTCTTCTTACTCGGAATCCTGGCCCTTCCTTGCATCGTCCTACGTACGGAGAAGTATTCCACCAGTGGCAGTAAGTCAATTCAAAGTAAGTCAAATCAGGCCAAAGTGCAGCAGCTGGGCGAGGAGGTGCCGAACGAACCGGGAAGGGTTTTGGGGGATATTTAAGGATGCTCAAGTGTGGTGTGGAAGTCCTGTGCGGATGACAGACGGAAGGGCCTCCGACTGCCCCGATCTCGCAATCCGGAGGCTCCAGTGCGTGAGCCTTGAACCTCCGTTGCACCCATGTGGGAGGCCGGAATTCCTACGAGGGAAGAGCCGCGGCCTCAAAGATCAAGCAAAGCCCGCAGTCTCATCACCTCAAGTGGAATCCTGCAAAAGGCTTGAGATGCAGAGTTTTTTTAAAACATCTTCTGTCCAAAACTCCTCTTGTTTGGAGTGGGCTCAGTTTAGTCAGTGGTCATGCTCGTAGCTAGACGTTCCTCATGGAAGCACATGCGTGCCATGGCTGTAGGCACGACCTGGGTCGTGTCTCCTGTGATCTACAACTGCTACAGGTGATAAACACATAACCTCATGTCATGTAACCCCATGACATGGAGACTTGGGATATTAGTTTTGGGGGGCACCGCTGGCCTCTGTGCAGTAGAGCGGAAGCCATCGCAAGGGCAACGGCCCAAGGGCTCAGAGACTGCCGCGTGCCAGAGTTCGGTCTAATGGTGTTAAGGACTGTTCGTATAAGGGGGGGGGAACATTTCAAGAGCCGAGCGTCCTATTCCCAAAAAAGGCCTGATTCCGCCCTCCAGGCTTCTCGAGTGCCTCCGGTGCTTGCACGACTTCGGAAGCCCGCGGGCCCAGTGATAGAATCGGATTCGCCACGATGGCCCTTTGTGACATGTTGCACCTTTTCCGTTTGGACATGTAGGAGCCGCCCATTTTGAGAGACCAGCTCTTTGGATGCAGCTTCTTCTGGAATATACAGTACTGAGCATTCGATGCACTTGTAGAAATGGCCCTATCGGCCAACTTTCGACCCACAACAGTAGAGCGCAAGTCAGGCATCGTCTTCTTCGATGAGGAGGGGCTGCGGGAGCACGTGGTGCCTTGGCCGAGCTCGTGGTTGCGAGGGGATCGCTGCGGAGTACGGGTATTGCCCAAAATAGGGGTACCCCTGTGATGCCCCAAATAGACTAGAATCCCCAGTCCTTCCCAGAGCTTCTGATCCTTTCCCCCGCGAAGCTCCGAAACTCTAAACCCTAAACCTTCAACTTTGGAGTCAGGGAGGAACCTGTTCGGAACGGCCCCAAGAAACCCCCTTATAAGGGCCCTCAACTGCATTGAGAGGTGCTGAACCCGCAGTGGCTCGCCAACGCAATGGCGCCTCGATTGCAAACCCGTTTAGGGCTTAGGGTTTAGGATTTAGGGTTGGGGTGCAGAAGAGGCGTCTGCTTAGGCACCATTGTGTGTCATGGGCCCTTTTTGGGACTCCTTGCGTCATGCCATCTGGCTAGCTGGCTCCTTCGAAAGCCTGTCGAGGTCACGTAAGCCTTCCAAGTCCAAACTTCAAACCCTGAAACCTCAACTTAAACCTGTTGGAAAAATTGTGACAAATCCCCGCTGAGTGGCATCTTGGCGCTTGCAGTGTGGGTGCCAAACAAAAACACTGGTTCGAAGACAGCATTCACGTGGCCGAGGCACACGTCTTGAACTGCCCTCGGGTCGTGCAGCGCTCTCGGTTTTGCAGTGGGTCTGGGGGTGCGCTTGAGAGCAGTCATGTGGCACCTAGATTTCCTATAGCCAATCACCCTGGACCCCGCATCCCCCAAGTAGGAGCAGCTAGGAAAGGGGGCCAAACCCAGTTGGCCAAACCAAAGCTTCGACCTTTTTGTGAGCCCTCGGGCACATTTGCATTTTATTGTGGAGCTGCCTGAGGCAAGGAAGTGTTGCTGCGGCACGCCGGCTCCGCGAGAAGGGGCAGCTGGAGGCCCAAAGTGCGTTTTGGGTTTAGGGTCTAGGGCTTCGGGTTTAGGGTTTAGGGTTTGGGGTTGTGCTAAGAGGCCCAAACAGGCAACGGCGTGTGGAGTGAAAGCCACGAGACGAGGATATTCCTCATGTGCTTCTTTTCGTGAGCTATTCCACAAGAAATTCTGTGCTAACCCACACGCCACACCTTTGCAAGCGCGAATGTTTGAACTGAAAGGTTGAGTGGAACGCCACTTTGTGAAACCCCTGTGGCGCAGGATGAGTTCTTACGCCGATGTCTGTGGAGGCACTGATGGGGGGGCCGGGGGTGGGGTGGGGTGCTTTTGAGTTCTGGCCTGGCTGCCGTAGGATCACAGAGACTTACATGGAGCGCTTCAAGCTCTTGGTGTCATCATCAAACCCACGCACCCACAGCTCCCCATCAACAACTCGATGCCCTGGCCACCGCCCTTGGCGCCAGGGCACACAAGTTCCGGCAGCATCCGTGCAGCAGATGAGCATGGCGGAGGGGTTGCAGGAAGGGGTAGTTTCTTCTTAAGCTTACGGTGTGTTCGCATCTAGCTTTGCTGCTGCTGGGAGCTGAGGCGCCCTGCGTAATCCCTGAAAAGGGTATGCGTAGGGCGATATAGGGTACCTCATTCCCTCATTCCCTACCAAGAACCAGCCAGACTTTCTGTGGGGAAGGCCAAGGCCACGAAGCACCATCGGGGTTTCCAGCTTGAAGCCTTCATCCTTGAACCCCCTTCTCAGCCCCCTTTTCTACTCCACAGTCTCCTAAGCCTTCCTTGGGTCTGCGAGCACCTAAGGCACCACGACGTGCTTCTGCAAGTCCTCTACCGTTTCGACCTCATCATCCCTGGCGAGGGGACCCACGTGGTGCCCACCTCGGTGGCCTCTTTCCATCGCCCCGTAGCTCTTTTCGCTTATAGAAAACCGGAAAGAGCACATCAAGAAGAGTAGAGCTTTTCCCAAGGTCCTAGAGGTTCTAAACTGAAACTCTAAACTCCTAAACCCCAAAATTGTTGAAGCCGGAAGGTGCCCTCGCTACTGCCTTGCTCCCCACCGCAGCCGGCCTTGCCGATGCAGCCGGGCGAGGCGAGCCCGACTTCATGGGGGGGGGGGGGGCTGATCTAAGTGGCTGGCGCCCTGTATCTTAATGCTGGTAAGTCTAGAAGTTTCAGGAATTTTTGCCATCAGTCCCAAAAAATTTGGGCTCGCTCTTCTATTCAGCCCGCAAATGCCTGCTTATCTTTCTTTGATGTGCTTATGAGGTGTGCTGAGGGCTTGGGTGAGAGACGATAGTCTTGGGCGCTCAGACAGGACATGTTGTCCTTGTGGGCGGTGTCAAAGTTGGTACAGTGCACACAACACGCAGCCTCGAATGGCGCCCTAGCCGCTGGACTCTTTGAGCTGCGAGAATACTTCTGCAGAAGTTTCTACACGCCTTCCTTGCAGTGCCTGGACCACGTAGGCATGGGAAAGGCCTGCGTGCGTTTGGTTGCCCACCCATGGTTTTGCGTAGGTTTGCGCCGGCATACAAAACGTTTCAGGTACGAGTGTGCGTGTTATTCGCGAGAACACACTTTGCAAGATTAGTCTTCTTGGCTCATCTGCTGCTGCTATGTGACTTCCTGGCCTTTCTCGGACAGAATACCACGGTGCCACCACTGTCGAGCTCATCCGGGGGGTTGTGTTGCTCGTTAGGCCTGGAACTTCTTGTTCTTTGACTTTCACGGGCTCCTGTGCCGCCTGCTGCCGGCGACTCAGCACTCTTCCGACCTTCCGTGGCTGTGGAGGTTTGGGGGCGACCCTACTAAAGAGAGGGTGTAGAGGTCCAGAACCGCAGGGCCCCAAGATCCTTTCAACCCCAAGCCCAAACTCATCGAAAACCCATCCCCTAAAACCGTGAGAGCATCTCCCAACTTAGGGGGGCATCACGCCCTCAAATTCTGAGAGCCAAAGGGCGGCACCCCTATTTTTGGGGGAAAACCTCTATCTTGAGCCCTAAACCCGAACCCCTGAGCCCTAAACCCTAAATCCTAAACCCTAAATCCTAAACACTAAACCCTAAACCCTAAACTCCCTAAACCCTAAACCCGAAACCGCGTGCGAAAGAACCGTAAACCCTAAACCAGGCCAACGCTTTTCCCCAAGCTGCTGGCCTCCTCCTGTCGGCAGGCTTGTGTTGGGTGTTTGGGGTTTTCTGGGGGGGCTCTTGGCAGATGCTTGAGCCGTCTCTCTGAGTTTCGTAGGGGAGCCCAAGGAAGGATGAGCTTCGTAGGACATTTGAACAGGCCTGAGGATTGGTACCCTCCCATCTCGATGGGGCCCAGAGACCTTCAGGGACGTTGAACCCTAAGCCGTAGCAGTGGCCGAAGATCTACGCAGCTGTGCTGCCTCGCAGGAGGGAGTCGCCAGAGTCGGCTCCTTGGGACTCTTCCGAGTCCGGGCCACAGCCAGCGTGGGTGATAGGACTTCGCGTGTGCGACTACCGCTGCAGTTAAGACTCATGTACACCAGCGCCCTTTTCTCGGGGCATTTCAAATCCTGTAGTTGTGGGATCGCACCCTGGGCACCCTGCCAGAGCCTGGAGAATTTGTTGAAGCTTGTACAGCTCTTGCTTCCTCTCAGGACAGTTTCCGGCTGCTCTGGAAGGGCGAGGAGCTGACGATGGATCTCCTGCGACTGGGACGGCTCTCAGAATCTCCAGGGGAGGAAGTTATAGGGCCACACCATCACCATCCTCCCCCACCTCGAGCCCTTGGCTTCCGTGGCCAGGCCACCGCAGCGGCCGCAGGTCGTCCGCGTCGCTGCGGAGGGGCGAGGCCTTGAAGAGATTCAGTTGCGGTAAGATACGTGAGTTTCTAGCTTTTTTTTGGGGGGGGAGGGGGGTGTAGGGGGGCTAGGGCGGGGCGGGGGGGTCTAAATGCGAAACCATCTTTTCAGTGCATGCGCGCTTCAGTGCATGCCTACACGCTTCAGTGCATGTCAACTGCGAGGAATGGGCAAGACAAGCGCCAGGGTCCCCGAACATCGCGCCTGATGCCTGAAATCCTCTTGAACAGCCCCACCACCAGAATCAAAAAAAGGATCCCGACCCCAAAACCCTAAACCCTAAACTCGAAGTCAGCTAGGAGGGTGGCAAAAAGAAACCCCAAACCTTCCGAAACCCTAAACCCTAAACCCTAAACCCCAAACTCTCACCCTGTTCCTGTGACAGGCCTCGATTTGGTCACCGTGCAGGGCCTTCTGGATCTACTCAAGGCCGAAACAACAGGGAGGTTGGGGGGTGGAGCAGCAAGTCTAAGTGGGGGGGGGGGGGGTTCGCATCCTTTAAAACACCCCCAAAATTAAGGGCGCAGGGTGCTTAAGAGGGGTGTTTGGGGCGGGGGGGGGGGTACATTTCGGAGTTTAGGGCTTCCGAGCTGTGCTTTCTTGCTGAAACTCTGTGGAGCCCTTGAAGTGGACAAGAACCATCCTCAAACATGTGTTGTCGCTGGCTCTGGGCCCGCCGCTATAAGGACCCTCAAATTTGAATGTCTACATACACACTATATTGCGCTGTATTATATATATATATGTATATATACATACATATGTATATGCATTTATAGGATAAATAGATTCCATTTCTATCTGCCCTCCTGATGTGCGCTCTAGGCCACCCTTGCGCAGAAGAGCCACCTAGCCTTCACAGCCGGCGTGCTCTGTGAGCACTGCCACGCCCGTGCGCCCAGACGGCTGGTTTGCTTTGCGTGGTCTTGAGAAGTCTGCCATGAGGGCATCCCACGCGCCGACAGCTCTTGATTTCCCAAAAACTCCTCCTAGAAGCCTCCCCAACTCTTCCCGAAATAACCGCTGCTTCTCAGAGGCACAGGGACGATCCCAGGCTCAGCGGCATCACGCCCGGGACTTCGTTTCAGTCAGTTTCGGGGGAGGGGGGGGGGGCTGACACAAAAATCACGGGCCACTTCGCGGCTGAGGATGTGCCATGATTGAGTCGCTTCCCCCTCGTGACGCAGAGTAACCCTTGTGAGCTGCTACTTTCCCGAGGTAGTCGATGTTGCCGAGCTCCTTGCCGCGGAGGATCCTTTCCAGCACGAAAAATCAGGGGAGACCCTGCTGCCACAAAGTTTCAACCCTGCAAGGTGAATGGTCCCCCCCAATGCCAAGCTAATTACAGTAGGCTTTAGTTTGACAGACCAGCAAGAACGAGTGTAACTATCAAGATAAAGGGGTCGACTGAGACTGTGTGTGGCCTTTCTGGTTTGGAGGGCTTCTGCATGAGGACCCTGTACCTGCCCCTAGGGAAAAGGCGCAAGGCTGTGGGTGTTTACGTCGGGACGTAGTTGAGCTCAGGCACGCCATGGAGGCAAACTGCAGAGTTCCAGTCGAAATCTTAGAACAGCCCGAACTCGAAGCATCTTAAAGTAGTAAAGCCCAAGCTCAACTCCAGTTTGAGATGTTTTTTTCGAGACCACTACAGCAGCTCGCCGTCATAGCAGCTCCTTCAAGTAGTTGTAAGACACCCACCCCTCCATCCCCAGCCCGCCCCATGCGCAGACTCTTGTCGCGAACAGGATCGAAAAGTGCCCTGCCGCTTCTCGGCGCGCGCTGTGACGGCGCCGAGCTGAGCAAAACGGGTTCACACGAAGCGTTTAGACACATTGAAGTGAAGACTCAAGCCCAAGCCATTTCTGCATTCTACATGGCTGTTGGACCAGATTCCTAGGTACAGGTTGCGTGTTTCTCAGTACAAAGTGTTTTGGTGAGTCCTTGCAAGCATTTGGTCATCGGGGTCCAGTAGCTCTGCCTCGTTCTCAAACGACAAGAAAGGAAAAACGCAGGGACTTGCTTCAAACACGGTGGCCCATGATACTCCAAAGCCTGCGCAGACACTTAAACCGCCGTCGTCCCGAAGATGGACTACCTGCCTTTGCCCCTGCAACCCCACCCCGAACTGCCCCTGACAGGGGCGCAGCAGAAGATAGTGACATGGCGAACCAAGCCCCCACTGAGATCTTGAGGACTTAACTTGGGCTGTTTTTCATTCACTCTAGGCGCTCGTGAGATGCCTCTCTTCGGTGTTCGCGCAGCATGAATTTAAGGCTTTCTCCTCACATTCCCTGCATTTCTTCCCGAGTTCGATCTCTTCCATTGACGAAGGTGCCGGATGGCTGCTGGGCGGCTGAGTGGAGGCAATGGGTTGTGGGCTTGATTTGGGCTTAGCTCGAATTGCAGCCGCTTCCCTGGCCATGTCCAATGTGTTTCGGAACATCCATGGTGAATCCAGCGAGGGACAGACAGAGCGAGACAGAGAGAGAGAGAGAGAGAGAGGTTTTTCGGACTCACCGGGAGCCCGTGGTTCTTGCCCCATTCTCACTCAGAGAACGGACGCTGGACTGGGCGCGCCCGGCGCGCGGGGGACCCCCCCGGGGGTTCGTAGAAGAAGAAGAAGGTTTTTCGGAAAGCCTCAATCTCGGCCGGTAGTCAAAACCTGAACCCGAACACCGAAAGAGCCCGACATCCCTCGATGTGTCAGGGAGCAGTTGCTTGCCAAACGCCCGCCCTCACCGTGTGGCCCCCAGCGCTTCACGGAGACCTTGGGGGTGCACTTGAATGTTGTTCGCTTCCCCCCTGAATACCTCCATATGGTTATTTCCCAGATGGGGGTACCCCGTTAATTCGCCTAAACAGACTAGAATCCCCTTAAAGGGACCCCCCAAAACGGGCACCCCCTATTTTTTGAAACCCCCATATGTCAGCCTTATGCAGCCTTCACCTCAGTCACCCTCAGCACGCCTTTTAGACTTGGATGGCAGAAGCAATGGTTGCACCTGGCACGCACTTTCGGCCGCAATCGTAGAAGATCTTCATGTTACTTTGCGGAAGCGCCTGCGTACATCCCTCTACGCTCTAGACGCTGCCTTTGCACTCGAAACCCCATAAACACAACCAAAAAAAAAAACAGCTGAGAAGAAAGGAAGCAAAGAGCCCTTAAGACCGTGAGGCGAGAAGGGTTCGCACGCGGCTTCGCATGGTCCTCAGCATGCGAGAGATTCCTTTTTTGGGTTTCGGGTCTCCAAACAGGGGGGGCTTCAAGGCCGGAGTCTCAGCAGTGCTTGCCGACCTAAGCCCAAAGGCCCCTAAGCCGTTTGGAGCCGAGTCATCGCTCGCCCCAGCTGCGCTCATACTTTGCTTGATCTTCGGCAATGCAAAGCCGCCCAGTTCAGGTCCCGCGCAAGGTTTCAAGCTTTGGTGCCTTCAAGCTTGATGAAAAGATTTCCCCAATATGTGGTCGTTATCTTCAGGCGCCCCACGCGGGCAGCAAGTGGATGCCACCACTGCCCTGTCACAACTTGACGTTCCAGAAATCTCAAGCCTAACACGAGATGCTGCTTGATGATCTGAGGATACGCCGACAAACGCGTCGACGGACTGCCCAAGTTGAAGTACGTATGTCAGGCTTTTGGGGGGTTTTTGGAGACTCCCAATAGGAGGACAAAGGGCCGCAGAGAAGATGCTCCAGGGTGTCTACAGCCCAGGCCCCTTGAAGCTCGAATGCATGACATGAATAAAGTGCAGCAGTCAAGTCCCTCTAGCGGCTGTTGCTGTTCATTGCACTACGGCTTATACAGCCTTTTTCGTAGGTCGCCGCACAGAATTCTACGAGACAACATGTAGGGTTTTTGGACCACAAAGACCAACAGCCCCTCGTGATATTGCTCTTGCCTTTTGCTTTACCTGGGAAAGTGCGATCATGCATGGTCGGGCCGCTGGTTGTGTCGAAGCTACCTTGGAAGCCGGTACGGAAGAAGACTCGCGCCCTGCAATTCTGGGTACCATGGCCTTGACAAGTTCCGAAGCCTGACGAGATAAGTTTCCGGATACTTCCTCTGATGAGAGCCCTGGCGTCATTCATGATTTGCGGCAAATAGGCAGCAAACGTGGTTTGAACTATAACGCTTCCAGCAAGCATGGCTGCAGGACACTTTCGAAAGAACACCGCGTGGAGATGTGGCCAGAGTCTCATCGGTCTCTCATGCCTTCTCACTGTTGTGAGTTGGCTGCCAGCTCTATATGGGGGTTCACGAAATTAAGAGACCTTTTATTTTGTAGTCCCTAAAAAATAGGATTCCCTTATGATAAGGAACGCAATAAGGTACCCCACATTTCGGAAACCCCCATATGAGGTGCACCTGTTGTATGCCTCCCCACTCTGGCGAAACGGCGAGGCTGGCATCGGGGTCGCCGGCTAGCCAAGATGAACCTCCTTCAAACACAATACTGACACATAGGAACCCACGCCGGAACCGATCCATCCTGACCCCCCCCCCCGCCCCCACCTCCCCCCCAAAGCCCTCAACTCACTTCTTTGACCGGTTTCTTCGATCCATGGAGGGGAAGCCCCCCAGGAAACCCCTCCACCAGAGCCCAGAGACGGCTTCCGTCAGGGTGGCGGCTTCGAGTTGCCGCAGCTGGATGTGCAGCAGGAGGACCCTTGGCAAAAACTCTTTGGGAGACGACGCGAAGAATATGAATAGCAATTTTGAACATGAAAAGTGGCAAGAAGAAGAATCACAGACCCTCTTAAGAATATAGACGGCAAGAAGAAGAACATCTGTAGTGTGGCAATAGTGGTACAGTAGTAACAGTCATCATCATTTTTCACCAACGACAGTATTTCCAAGCACAATCCTAATGTCCAAGTCAGGCTTTACTTCGCGAAATTTTCAAGGGGAAGTCCCTTCCGTGTCGTCAAAAGGACAACTGCACCCTGTTGGGAGGTTTTACTTTCGGCCTTCCCCCCATCCCTGCCCTTGATGTTCTCTGTTCTCAGACGCTTGAACCATTGACATCCCTATGTATGTTCTGATGTCTCAGCTTCAGTGGCATCCTCCTAAGTCGCCTGAAGCCTTTGACCCTAACAGAAAACCTAAACCCATCAACCCCTAAACCCCAAGCCCATACGGCTTTGCTCTCTGCACTGCAGGTGCCTCATTCACTCACTCCCATAAACCCGAATTAAACCGTCATTAAGCCCTAAGTCCCTAAACCCCGAAAGCCCAAGCCCCTGTCCTCAGGCCTTGATGCTTTCAGAACTGGTTGGCGAGGCATGGCAGTTTGGTTTGCATGTCTTGCGCCCAACTAATGGGTTTAGGGACTGGTTACGACTGGGGCCTGGGGAATTCTTGTTTTTTCACGCCGAAAGGCTTGCGAGTGCGAGGGGCCTGCGCATTCTGACATTCTGCATAGGGTTGGTTGGTTCTCAGCACATCGCATATACGGGCTCTCTTTCCAATATCATGGCGGCCCCAGTTCCTGATATCCGCAACCGTAGACTGCTTCATGAAGGCGGGTGGCAAAGAGCTGCTTCATAAAGAGCTGCTTGGTGCCATGGGTTTGTGTGGTTGTTTGAGGATGCTGTGCTTGGCTCCAAGGGGCAAGCACACACTCTGTCTCTGCCTGAGGACTTTCATCCAGGAGTGAGTAGTTGGCAAGCTCCCTGCACACTGGGTGCTCAGCACCCAAACCTCAACCCTAAACGCTAAACCCCCTAAATCCTAAACCCTAAGCCCTATCCGAAGCTCTAATTCAACCCTAAACCGTACAGGCTCTAAGTCTGGGCCTTGCGACATCGGCGAAACTCACGGACGTGCTGACGTCTCCGGAGGCCATGCCAAAGACTCCACATCCCGCTTAGCACGAAGCAACATAGCTAGTAGGGATCAAGACTGGCTTGAGGGCTTTCTTCCTTTAAGCGTCCAAGTTTGCCGGATCCTTTGGAGTCTCTGAGTGTTTTGTCGGGAACTTTGGGCGCCTATTCACCGCAACCATACCCCGGGGCAGAGAGGCGTGTGGCTTGCAGCGCATGGGGAGTAGATGTGCAAATGATTTCTTCAGCCACGAGGTCGTGAATGCAGCGTTGATGCACCAGGGCCTTTCGAAAGTCCAAAAGGAGCAGACGACAAAAACGAGAGCTTTGAAGCACAGCCGAGCTCCTGTTGTAGTATGGCAAGTGTTGAAATGTCACATCGTGTCATAGGTGGAAAACACGGAATCGGCAAAACTTAAGTCAGCCTGCGATGTTCCTATTTCCCAGATTCCCCCGTGAGACTTGTAACAATTGTACAAACCTCGACCCCCCCCCGGACCCAAAAAACTCAGCCCCGCAAAAGCGCAAAGTGCTGATGTTGCAGGTCGGCGCTGCGAACACTGTGCTGCACCTGCCGTGGTCTCGGTATGGCAGATGCTGCATGGGAGATGCTGCATGGCAACCTTTCTCTTTCTTTGTATGTGAGGGGTCTTCTTTGCAAAGCCGCGTCATAAAGGGAAGCTCTAGGGTTTTGGCTTTGAGGCCTGCTGGCAAAAAAGTGCGACAAATCAAGGCTTTTGTAGAACACCAGCGGCATCCAGCATCAATTCTTACCCCTCGGAGCACTGGCAGTGTGTGAAGAGCCCGCCGGAAGACTTGGAAGCCTTTTTGATCGCAAGCTGTGGACAGATCCTGACATGGCCTCGCATCCGAATCTCCCAACCCCAATCTCCCAGACCCCGAATCCTCAAGCCCTGTCCCCACTTCTTTTCTGACCTTGTGGCCTGGAAGCAAAAAGCGCAGGCGGAGAAAAGCCCGAAGCTCCTGAAACCCAACAGACCTGGAGGTCCCTCCATTGTGCAGACTCGGGACAGGCCCTCCTCTTGGAGGCCCCGGGGCATCTTAGGTCTTAGGTTTTTTATTGCGGGGGGGGGGGGGGGGGCTGCTCGCAAGCCAGCGGAGGAAGGCTGGCAGATGTTGCCTGTGTGGACTGCCGCATGCGTTTGTCCAAACCTCCAAGAGCATCACCTTGCCTTCCTGCAAACCTGGACCGGAAAACCACCCCGAAAGGACGACTTCGGGGGAGCTCACGCATTCTCCTTGGAGGCATGGGGCGCTTCAAATCCTGGGGTTAAAGGGTTTGACTTCCGGCTCAGAGGTCTAAGGGGCCATTAGATTTTGTGCGGCGGTCATGTCTTCAGCTCCTCATATCATATAGCTTGCGAGTTGCTCCGTATCTTGCAAGCTGTTTTAGCCTGCTGCTGGCGCCCGCAGCCCATGCAAAGCAGGCACTTGGGGTCGCCCTTAGGGCCTATGCTGCTATAGGGCTCTTTAGGGGCTTGCATTTAGACCCTAAGCCCGAAGCCCTACACCCTAAAACCCTGTTCTGGCGAGTCCAGGACTTGCGGGGCCTCCTGCAAGCTGCGGGCGGCGCAGCGCATCTTTCGCAGCTTGGGAAGAACTTCTGGCCAATTCTAGAATGTTCAAAGAGTGTGCCCCGCGAAGGGGCGATGTGCAGACCGCTTCTTCTACTAAACTAAGTTTGGGGAGGGCGATGCTCGGGCCTTCGATGCAGCAATCGGATCTTGGGCTCCCGGAGTTTACGGACCGTGTTTATGCTTACAAGAATCCCGAGCACAGACCCTTCAAGCCTGGTTTCGTTTCGTACAAACACTGCCGGCTTTTGCCTTGAGCCCCCAACTTCGACAACCGACTACCCCCTAAGACCCCCAACACGAGCTTTTGCCAAGGTTGATTTTTCTCCATGCCTGCTGCGGGCGCCTCAGTGCCTTGCAGCTCCTTATGATCATGCTGAAGCATGAGACTTATAGTAAGTACTTAGTAACTTAGTACGTAGCTCTCTTCAGAGGCAAGGTTACTTGCGGACCTTATGCGGACCAGTTCTATGCCGGGACCCTGATCTCCCCAACTCCCGATGCAGTGTGCCTTTCGCCGAAGCCTGGACTGAGCAGCGCTAGCGCCTTTGGTCCCTGCAAGCTCACTCCACCACCAAAAGAGTCTGCCCCAAAAACAACCTAAGCCTCTTTGTTGTCCCCTGTCCAGGCAGCAGCTTGGCTGGTGAGGCCTTTGTGGAAGCAGGAGCACGGCATGTTGCCTGGACCTCGGCGAACAACGTGCGTACTAGGGCGTGATTGTCTGCTTGTCTACAACCCTTTCCCGCTCTCCCTCCAACCCCACCCCTTCCCCACCCTGCACTGCTGCCCCTTCATGTCTGCTCATCCACCTGCAGACACCGCACAACTCTTGATTGATTCGAAATATGTGCAGCTTCTTCCTTAAAGAACTGAAACAAGAGTGGTGGGTGCAGAAGTGCTCAAGAAATTGCCAGGTTTGCTGCCAGGGCTCAGTCTTTGATGCTTCGGCCCAGGCACTGTCTTGCACGTCTTCGCGAAATCCCCAAGACTCATCCTGGTTTTGCCTGTGCTTGCGCAGGCATTCACAAATGCATTCTATCGAGCCGCGACCTCGGATCCTCTCTGAGTCGAGGCCCCTGGCAGGCTGTTGAGCAGCGATGTGAAGCTGTTTCTCTGGCATCCCTGGACGGAGACCAAGGCCTTCGTCGCTGGCAAGACTGCCGGGCTTCAGAAACGGCCGCGAAACATCAGGGGATGCAGTAATTTATCCGCACGTTGAAAGAGACCCCTTCGGGGCTTGCTTCATCTTCGGGCTCCACATTTCCACGCAGGTGCGCTAACGTTTGTCGAGGTTGTGCTTGCAGAGCCCAGTGTTCACGGTCGCCTGCGCCGCAGCACTTTCACTTTTCCAAACCGAGCCACTGGAGACAATCTTTTCAATTGAGGCTTTAGGGGGCAGATGTTGCTCGCAGATCACCTGTATAAATGCTGAGGCATCATTCCAGCCCCTAAGCCCCAAACCCGAAAAGGCCTCTCAGAGGCCTCAGCCCTAAACCCCTAAAGCCTTGCCTGGTTCAGCGAGTGCGAGAGTCGAACCCCCCCCCCCCTCTAGCCCTAAACCCTAAACCCTAAACCCGAAACCTTAAACCCCATGTAGACCCTTGAAGAAAGGAGCCTCCAGCAAGCCTTTGACCTCGCCTGCGTCGCGCTGCGCTCCGCGCCGCAGCCGGGACTCCGAGCGGAGGCGCGGCCCCCTGCTTTCTGGCGAAAAAAGGGGGGGAGCTCTACTACCTTAAAAAGAGGGAAGCTTAGCGGTTTGGTGCCTGATGCAGCAAAAAAGGGGTCTTTAGAGCTTTAGGGTGTTGAGGGGTTTAGGGTTTGCACATCCGGGCGAGCTATCACAAGCCTGTTGCAAAACAGAGTTTAGGGTTTATGTGTGTATACATAATCTATACATTTATACATTAGTTTGCTGCACGGTCTTCCTGTAATGTTCTTGTGGGGACTTCGGTTTTTGAGGCGCTTGGGCAAACTCAGGAGAGCGGTGTGCCCCCGTGCAAGCTCAGCAAAGTCCCCATGTCAACTCCCCCTAAGCCCAAAAAGACCGTGAGCGTAAGCTACAATTATGGGTTTTTTGGGCACCCTAAACTATAAGGAACCCATTATACATATGATTCCCAAAATGGGCCCGCAATCTAGGCTGCATTGGGCTTGGGTTTAGGGAGTTCAGGGCTTGGGGCCTCTGAATTCTTTTCAATCCCAGCTGAGTCCCACAGCTGTTGCTTATCCAGCCCCCGCAGGCAGAGAAGTACCTCCTTCTTCCTCGAGACAGCGATGAGCCGCGTTGCTTACATCCCTTCGCAACCCCGATCCTGAAACAAAGGTGGCCCTCCATCACTCGCCCTCCATCACTTGTCGGTACAAGGTTGCATGCAGGACAAGTCTGCTATGTTTCTTGCTTGTCGCACGACCTTCCATCCTCCAAAAGACTGCACAGCCGGTCACGGAGAGGCGTGAGAGCGGGAGGCTGCTAAGCATGTGTAGGTGCTTCTTGTATGCTAATCAAGCAAAAGCAACAGCTCAGCGAGGCATTGGCTGCTTCTGCGCACCAGCTTTTTCCATTGGGTTTGGGCTCGGATTCCACCTGGCAACCAGCTCCCTTAACATTGAATGGTAGGATTTTCAAACTCTTTGCCATCTCATTGAAGGGGTGGGGATCCCGTATAAGTCCAAGTCATGACTCCCAGGCACGAGCGCACCTTTTTCGACCTCGCGTGGGGCGGCCAAGGCCTTTCCTGTAAGGCTGTTTGGCGCCATGCTTTTGCGTACTCTATGACTCTATGGCTTCACATGGGGTAGAACGTGCACAAACACAAGATCCTATCGAAACAGGTGATGTGCAAGTTTGTGTTTGCCGAAGACTTGGGCGCTTGCGGCTGCTGTGCCTGACAGGAAGCTGTCTCCATCACGAGCGGTCCCAGATCATGTTGCCGCCACGGGTAGAGGCGGGCCTTGCACTCGGGGCTTCAAGGGATTTTCTTCAACCACCCGTAGGTCAAAAACCAAACTTAAGGACTTTATTCTTGGCCTAGAAAGGGGTGTATGTATAAATGATACATATATGTAGAGTCTATATATATATATATACATACATACAGAAAGAGCAAGAGGTGGAGATGGAGAGAAAAATCCATAGATGTATGCATGCCATATATAAAGACATAGATTGATATGTGTATGTGGGTGTCCCAAGGCCATTTTTAAGGGGAGGGACCAAGAAGGAGACATGCTCGTTCACGGAGGCATCTCCTTTTGGGGCGCTGGGGTTCCAAGACGAGTGGCTAGTGCCTGTGCGCGTACTTCACCCTTGGACCATGTGTGATTAGAGCACTCTAAGTCCCCAAGGTTTGGGTAGTCTAGAGTCAGATCGCTGGCGCTGTCTCCTACACCAGTGGTTCATGGGATTTGCAACTGCGTCTTCCGTTCATTCATTGCCTTCTTAGATTTGGGACCTTAAATCCGGAAGACCCAAGGGTGATCTCAGAAGGCCTCAGCAGCAAGGATAGCCTTTGGCACAGGGAAGGAACACGTCAGAGCCACGTGCAACGTCCCTGTATCGCAGAAGCGCCGATGGCATTGGTCCAACAATTAGCAATCCCCAACACCACTTTTGTCAGTGCCCTCCCAATCATTACTCATAGAGGCTTAACATGCTAGTTCTTAGAGCTCTTGAAGGGATTCTGTGGGACTTTAAATTCATCACTAAGAGCCAATACATCACAGCTATGCATAGCAGCTATGCGCTATGATGAACACAGGACTTTTGCGGACGAAGCCGGGGCCTTGGTCATTCTTCGTCTATGAGCGCCGTATTCTCGTGATGCCGAATAAGGGGGGGCGGGGGCACGGTTTAGGATCTAGGGTTTTTATTGGGGGTGAGGGTTTTTAGGGGTTTAGAGGTAGGTTGTCTGGGCTTAGGACTTGTGGTGCTTTGTTCCCACGTTGTCTTCATCGATCGTCTCTGCATGCATAGAGGCAAGCTGCATCAAGCACTTGCCCTGTGAAAGGTGAGTATGCCAGCCACATCCAGCCTCATGATGACCATGTTTTGCATAGGCCAGAGCTCCGAACCGATTCTAGGGTTGAGGGATTGCAGAGCGGCCGCTTCATCCGCACCTCACCTTGGGCTTGGCACAAAGCTCGGAAATGGCAGCAAGCTGTTGAGGCAGTTGGGATGGGGGGGTTAGGTTGCGGTTACACCCCCCCCCCCCCTTCCGGAACTAATCGACTCGTTTACTTCACAGCAGAGGCCGCGACTTGTGGTTGCTGTCACAGCGATCGCAGCGTCGCTGCGCCGCCATCTTCGGCCCGGCTCAGGCTCTCCTCAACGCGCATATTCATGTAACTTATAATTGCGGTACCTTGTTTGATAAATTTATCTAGTCCACTATACAACGATGAAAAAAACATGAGATTTTGGGCCTCTGAAAATGGCAGAGAGCCGCACCATCAGGAGCCAAGGGCTCTGTTGAGGCTTTTCTCCTGTAGCGAATCTCATGCTCATCGACACCTACCCTCGTCAAAAGCGGCGCCAGATTCGTTGGGATGCAGATGTGTTGCGTAAATGCCCCCATCCTCATCTTGTGCCAGGTTGGAAAATCGGCACTTCTTTGCCGCTGGACTCAGCAGGATCATACTCCCTGAGGTGGAGTAGTCCAAGAGTACATTCCAGGTGTACATGCGTCGACGTATTTCAGGTCAACTTGCCATTTGTCAGAGTTGAATTCCAAACTCTGCATCCCGACCATTCATCTGAACAACCCTGAGCCGTCGAATCCCATGCCTGTGACTTAACCCTATCAGATCAAGCCCCCCCCAAAAAAAAACAAAACAAACAAATCAAAAAAGCAGTCGGCCATAGTGGGGCCCCAGGTGAACTTTGCCGCTTCCTCGGTGCCCGCGGACGTCGCTTTGATGGGCGAGCTGGAGCCTTGAGGGCACGCGTTCTGTGGTCCTGATGGGGGCTTCTGGAGTCCTTGAAAAGTTCTTAGGGCCGGGCCATGAAGGCCTGCAGATGGCAACTCGCACATCCTTGGCAATCATGCATACTTCTTTGCCCGAAAGAGTGTTTTCGGAAAACGTTCCGAGTCCCATGGCCTGCGATCCTCATGAGGGCTTGAAGCCACAACACGGCCTTAGTCAAACCCATGCATGGTGCCCTTCCGAGGCCGTGTACGTTAGCACGGCTGCGGAGGAGGCTGGGCGCGACTTGTGAGCAGGTTTAGCCAGGATCCAGGGTGAGGCAAAACCTCCGGAGTATGGTGCTCAGGCGAAATAGGATGTCATGCATGGCTCTTCATTCTGTGGCTGGTGGAGTAACCCGGGAGAGCGGCCTGTAGCAGGTGCACGTTGAACATGGAAAGGCTTTGGCATGATCTTGTGGCCCTGCCAAACCTACACCCCTACGCCTATCTGACTCGAGCCGAGTAGGGAGCTGGAGTGGCACAACGCGGTCAGCAAAAAGGCTCTAAAAGGTCGAGCTATATACTATATAAACCCACAGCCAGTGAAAGTGGCAAGCGCCTTGTACCTCCAGGCCGCAAACCTTTCCGAAGAAGGGAGAACAATCGGTCCAGGCGGTTGTCTTGTCAGAACACTGCCTTGGCCACCCGTGAGAGGTATCTGAGCCGCATGAGGAAGCTGCGGCCTTGGGATGGGCGCAGCCACCATCTTGGCGTAAACTTGAAAGCCCCCAACGGGTGCAATGACGCCGCCGGCTTTAGCCTTAAAGGCCTTAACCGCCGGTTACTTGTGGCATGCGGTGTGTTGAGAGGTGCCACTCGTACAAGGGGGTCCTACATGCCGAGTCCTGCTCCCATGGAGTGCAAAGAATTATTATACATATATATATATACATATGCACATATATATATATATATATATTCCTGGCTCGTTTGAGAACCTTCGGGGTGCTCTCCGGAAGAAAGTCCGCCCACCGATCTTCAAGCCCGAGGCATCGGTGCTGGCGCTGCTCCGAAAATTGGCTCTTGGAGTGCGTCCCGCGAGCGAGGTGGGTTCCTCAACATGCCTATGGTTCAAGCACCCAGCTGTGAACCCCCCAGGTGAGAGGCCTCTGCCTTGTTGTAAGTCCTCCCCTATCTTCAAGAACTCGAACCAACCGCGCAACGCACCGCCAGAAAATATACGGCAACAGCTGCACTCGAGATTCAGCAAGGATTCAACTTCACTTCGGCGCTTTGACCTGTGACACCGCCCCTGAATCCCGAGGTCAAGTGTATACAAAGCACGGGACCGCTTTGCTGCATCTATTCGGGGATTGAAGGGGAACACCTCAAGGATTGCGAGCCCAGGAAGATGGCTACTAGTGCCGGCTGATGTGGCCCTGTTCAGGTCCAGAAAGCATTGAGTCTTAGAGTGCGGCATAGAACTTCCGAACACGGTCTGTCACCTAGTTGTTGGGTCCTGGGGTCCCCGTTTCTAGGAGTCCCATGGCTGGCACTTGAAGTCCGCAATCGCTTGACCTGGCGCAGATGGAGACGGACGGTTTCTTCGTGACTTCCATGGAGCAATCAGAGGCTGGGACCCTGCGACTACATGAGGTTGGATCCATGCCCAAACCTTGCCCTCTGCAGAAGGCGCAGAAGTTGACACAGCTTTGCCCTAAGCATCTGTGAGGACGAGGCGTTTGCGTCCTTGTCCTCCATGAGCATCTCAAGTCACAGCGAGGCGGAGCGGAGAACGCGTAGGTGTTTCGATTTTCGGGACTTCTACACGAGAATCCCTTCCGAAGGTCCTTCTGAGATGGGGGTGCAAGGTGTCAGGCATCTATAAGGGGACCCCAAGATGAGTTGTAGCTCGCCCTGACTTTTCAGTTCTGCCAGTGCTGGGCAGAACAGGCCTCGTTCTTACTTCAGGCACGCAACCTTGATGGGAGGGGCAAACCCAACTTTCAGATTTGGCAAGGTGAGCCAACCCAGTGCACGGTTGGCACTCAAATCTTACGGAAGCCAAGCAGACGGGAATCGCTCGTCGTTAGCCTCGGCCCACCCTGGTTGCCGCCACCATATTGGACACATCGCGGCGCGGCGCGCGTGTCCACTGCTTGACTCCTGCTCGAGTGCGGCCCGGCCAGGCCCGCATCTTGCGGAGCCCAGGCCTCGGAAGCCTCCGGAGGGAGATGTCGCACCACACGGGAGTTTTGGCCATTTGAAATTGATGGAGGCCCTCCCAAAGTGATTGCTTGCCAACCCTACTGAGCAAGCCCTCGGAGCTAGATTAAAAAAACAACCAAGCCAGGCACCCTGGCGTGCAAGTAAAGAAAGGAGCTCTTTGTTATGGGCCCCATGGGGTGGACTAGAAGAATGAAGGAGGTTGGTGCGTCACACTGCGCCTCCTGACATCCTAGCCGGCTTTTCATGCCCGGGAATGATACAGGCTTTTACGTGTGCAGAAGAAGAAGAAGAAGGATACCGGGGAGAGCGTTCAGCCCTGGTCACTTGGCCGAGGTCAGATCGTCCAGCGCTTTCAGCGGCTGGAAGCCACTCGGGCGCCCGTCCTCCTGGCCTTGGACGACCTGGACCGGGGCGGGGGAGGGGGCGAAGAAGCCATGGCCTTGAACAGCACAAAAGTGCACTTTTGAGACTTGAGACCGATCCTTTCAAGCATTGATGCTTTAGTTACTTCGATGCAAGGACCCCATCATGGCCAGCGCGGAGGGTGCAGAGGAGCTGAGGCACCCCTCTCGGGGGAAGGGGGAAGGGGGGAGAGGGAAGTATGCGCTCTTCGCGAAGACCTCAGACTCTTAGACACAGAATCGGCAGCGGATTTCATTTGGGGCCAAAGTTGAGTGACTTGTGTAGCGACCTGTGTACCCACCTTCAGTAGTGAGGCGATTAGCATGGCCTGCTCGGCTGCGAGAAGCATCTAACTCTTTACGGGCAATGTGCGCTCACATCTGGCTATGCATGTGTGGTGTGTTTGAGCTTGCTGATGGCTCCTTGCCCCTGGCCTTATAGACGATTCTCTGGACAGACCTCCGACAGTCGCCTTGCCTGCCGTGTGCAAAACCCGGAAAGTCATGGAAACCCCATAAGCCCTTAATTATGCGGACCTTCCAACCCCAAACCGTGCACAAGCGCTCCTTCTGAGAGAAGGCTCCCACTTGGCACCCCAGGAAGGTCCTGACGGAGCTGCTGCTCCGCACGGAGCGCCTCGAGATCTTCCTGGGCGCCCGCGAGGCCCCCTTTCGAATGCTACTGCCAAGTGGTGCTTGCGGGTTTGTTCTTGGCAGGAGGGTTCAAGCTTTGTTGTTGATCATGCACTGTTAAACGTGTGCGAGGGCATTTTTGTTGTTTTTGATGTCGTGGAGGTGTTCAGGTTTCAGGAAAAGTCGGTGCGCTGTTGCTTGAGGTGTGACTCCTAGAAGGTGCTGTCTGCATGTCACTCGAGGGAGCTCGAAAGGGAGTGACTTCCAACAATCTCCAACCGCTCCTGCCGCAGGCACTTTCTCCCACGAGCCCTTAAACAAAAGAAGGGAGTCCCGGAATCCCTTCCGCGAGGGGTGGGAGATGACATGGAGCCCTGTGCTCCATGTCCTCGCCGCTCTTGTCGCCGAAAAGCCCCTAGTCTCGGCATGGCGTGCTGTCTCCAAGCTTGGCTAACTCTCGAGATGGAGCAGGGTGCCACTGTGCCAGCGAGCCAAGCCCCGAGAACCCCGGCCCCGGAAAGGGATAATACTCGGCACGCGGAGCACCAGGCACAGCCCCCAAAACCCAAAGCAACAACAGCTGAAAGAATCACGTCCCTAAACATCCCTAAACATCCTTAAGCCCCCAAGAAGCCTTGAATGAGCAGAGGACCAGGTGGGGTGAGAGTGTGAACCTTGGCCAGGCGCCTTTTCGGGCGCTGGGGGCGCACAAGGCCGCGGCCAGCCGTGTGTGCCATCCTTTCAAGTGTTTCGTGACTCTGCATATATTTTTTGAGGATGGTTTGAGGAGGTTTCGGGGTCAAGGCTCCACAGCTGAGGGCGCAGAGACCGGACTTTCGAAGTGAAGAACGGGGCTAAAAACTCAGACAACCCACCAGTCCTCAATGAGCTCCGACCTGCTGTTGGCAAAGCATCCGGCACGGCATATGTTGAGATTTTGGGGAGACGGCGGTTCCCCTTTTTGTTGGGGGAAAGCCCCCAGCCGAAATCCAAGCCTCTCGGAAGAAGGTGGTCGGGTACTCCCTGGAGCCACTCAAAGCCAGCGAGGCTGGGGGTGGCTTTTGCAGGGGAAAAAAAAGTAACCTCTGCAAGATGTAGGGCGTAGAAACCACAAGATGACGTGGAGTCGTGTTGGGCAATGTTGGTTCACACAGATTCTCGAAACTATGCTTCAGAGCTTCGTGCCTTAGCGCTGGTGTCGAACACCTTTCACTCTGTGATCGGGGTTGTGGCCCTTAGGTTCAGGGCTGCATGGGATGCGGAGTCTGGCGCGATGGCCTGTCGAGCGTCCTAAATGCTTGAAGCTTTTTGGTTCGGGAACACCTTCCTGACTCGGAAGGCCCTAAGGCTTTAAGGTTTGAGCGGGCGCTGATTCCATACCAGCTAAAGGTTTTGAGGCTTCGGGGGATGTTGAGATGACCCCCTTCATCCCATCATCTTCGTTGCCCAGGCGGCGCGGCTATTTCTGCCCGGGAGCCCGGGAAGCTTCATGTTATCCATGGCCCAAACCCAAAGAAGAGAGGAAGCTATACCATTGTTACCCCTTACGCACAGATGGGCCCATAGACTGAATGAATCGATCCGTAGGCACGGAGAGAGCCTATTCGCGAACCTCACCGCGATCCCGTGAGGTGGAGGGTCCACAGGCCCCTGGTGATGTCCGACTTCTCCCAGGAGCGCCGTGGCTTCAGGGAATCCGGGGTGAACTGCAACAGGGGCCTTGTTCCATGCTTCAGGGCGACGCGTGACTCCAACTATCCTTGGCTGAGGATCACGTCTCAAAGGGAGCTGACACCATAGATTCGACAAGCTATCTGCAACTGCAGGCCATGAGCGGTGGTGAACAGGCTGGCCTGCGATGATGGACGCCCCACCAGATAGAGAGGGGGTTCGGGCTGCAATGCCGTCCAGTGCAAGAGTTGATACCTGAGTTGGAGCCTCTAATGCCCCTAAGAGGTTGGGTGTAGAACAAGTTGCTGCCACATTCGTTGTAGCACGGAGTCGGTTGACACTTTTCGCGCCTGGCTCAGGGTTCCTACTGCAGGGCCCGTGCGGTAGGCTCCACCCACGATTATGCGCAGGTTTGCTACCCTTCAAGCTTAAATTGCCGTTACAAGGTCTGGTTGCAGACCTGGTTTGGCACCTCTTCTCGCAATGCCTTATGGCTTCGTAGCAGACATGCTTGAGCCGAATTACGCGCTGCAAGTTCACTATGCCGCTGCCCTGTGCAGGGTCCTCCTTCTCTCCTTCCGCTGATCATGACGGCTCAGAACCGAGGCGCAAATCAGGGACGTTATGCTCATGGACGTTATACGTGAGATGTTACCTGTAAGTGCTCAAGTGCTCACTGTGGCAGGCATGGTGTTGCAACAGCTCGCCAGCCATCCAGTACTCTCGTGCGACACTGAGATGGCACAAGCTGTCCCGCCCAACCTGTCAGAGCAACAGGTTCCATAGTGTCAAGCCCAAGAAGAAAGCATGTTCCCAGCAGGAGGAATGAAGAGTCATTTGGGCCCTCGTCTCCTCTCCGCTCATTGTGAAGGCAACCCCCACCAGGTAGCTACAGGTCTTTCGACTGCCCGGCACGTGCATCGACTAGGGTAGTTCCATGGTCCCTTAGCATGGGCCCTGAAAGAGGGGACCTCCAAAAGACCCCCTGACTTTGCCCTCATATTATAAGCGCCCGTATGACTACCCTTAGAATGCGGTGGCTGCAAGCGCCCCTCGCAGAAATGCCACGTCGCCTCTCAGGCTTTGCGGAGGCTTGCCTGGTCGACTGCGGGCCGGGCCTTCAGAAGGGGCGCAAAAAAGGGCACTTGAAGGGCTATACAAATACAAGTGAGGGGAGGGTTTTTAAGGCTTCAGGGGGGCGTATCGCCCTCCCGAACCTTCACCCTGGGTTGGCGCGATTGTTTCAACACCCCCCCTCCCGCAGCGTTCCGTGGCTTCTTGACTTCGAGCATGCGGAGATCCGTCCTCTGGAGCAAGATCGTTTTTCCTTGGAATAAGCAGGACCAAGCACTGGTGTTTGAAGATGCTAGGATCTAGGATCTCAGGCAAGGCCTCGCAGTGCATGACTTTGGCACGAGCGCTCGTCTAAGGCACTAGTTGTCGAGAATCCCCTAGTCTGTCTTGCACGATGTCTAGGCGGCTGCCGATTTTGTCCTGCCGGGGAACGGGACGTTGTTTGAAGCCTGGCTGCATGTTGGTTCCGTGGGCTGCATGGTTGTGCAACGTCATTTTTTCGTCATCTTTCCTGCTACACCATACTATTTGATGCCATGCACGGGCAAAGTTCTCAGCCCTGATGCATCGTCGGTGTCCATGCCTTCTCCGACGGGAAGAAACGTAGCACAGGACATCCATCAGCAGCTGCTCTCCACAGCCGGCGAGGACTTGATAGAACAAGAACGGGAGCGAAACCTGGGATTCGAGCCTGTAAGCCTGTAGGCACAGGAGAGTGAGACTCTGCTATCAAGCCGGAGGTTCACAGTTCGCTTTTGACGTGACGCTATTTGCGATTTGTGGAAAGAGCCAACTAAGAGCTTTTTGGTGGGCTTCCGTACTGCATTTAGCATTGCAGCATATTGCAGCCATTACCTTCATCCGAAATTGCAAGAAGGGGGCTTTAATGCTGAAGAGTTGCAGAACGCTCGTCGACGGCTCGTAACTAGCGTCAAGCAACTTTACGATTTCGATCACCTGTTGCAGGTGAGTGCCTATAGATGCTGCCTGATGCCATGTTGAGTCGGTTTTTGGGCTTGCAGCTTTTGGTTCAAGCTTGGCTCTTAGCGAGCGAGACCGGTCACATAGCAAGGTGAGAGCAGCACTTGTGATACAGAGCCAGGGGAAGAGCGCCAAGAAACACTCCGACACCGCATTGTGCAGCACACTGTTGACATGCAGCGCAGGACATCCATCAGCAGCTGCTCTCCAGAGGCGGCGAGGACTTGATAGAGCAAAAAGGGAGCGCAACCACCATCGCCTTGGTTTCGTCTTGCTGCGCCACCGAGCGATCGGGATTCGAGCCTGTAGGCCTGTAGGCACAGGAGTGGGATTCTGATATCAAGCCACAGGTTCGGAGTTGATTTTGACGTGACGCTATTGGCGACTTCAGAACTGTTTGGTGGGCTTCGTTCTGCATTCAGCATTGCAGCCATTACCTTCATTGCAAGGAAAGGGCTTTAACGCTAAAGAGTTGCCGAATGTTCGTCGACGGCACGCAACCCTGCACATCTTTTCAACAACCCTGTTGAGACAATTCCCTGGAAGTAGTAAACAAAAAACTCTGTAAAATCCTGCACAACCCCGGAGCTCCCTTACTTTCATTGGCCTAGAAAGCATATGGCTCATAGTCTCTAGACCTTGGCACGTTGAACTCCCTGCACCGTGGATCGGATGCATGATGCCCGCGTGGATGACTAGCCTGATCGTGAGAAGGTGCGTGAAACATGCACTCGGACCACGCCCTTGCATTTGCGACATAGGAGAGACCACGAGAGCTGTACAGAAGCATGTTTTCGAGCATACGTGGTCATACTGCTTGTCGGTGCGTTACACACTGTACAGACAATAGTAGACTTTACGTGGACCTGTCTGTGGGCTGTGCCGCCACTCCTGTGACTAGCAGAGGCAAGAGGAAAAGAAGGGTCCGTGCCATGGTCATCGTTTTTTTACGCTCTTGGACATTCTTGCAGTGTCTGTTCTTGGCTTGTTTGCACACTTGCGAAGTTGCTGACGGAGAAATTGAAACAGAAAGAAGGAGAGGCAACTGAAGTCGGTGCCACCTGCAATGCAGGCCTTCAATACACGCAGTATACACGCACTTCCGCAAGTGAAGGAAGCCCTATAGCTGCACACGCTCATGAATCCAGGGAGAGAGCGCAGATTTTGCAGGCGTTCTTGTTCATCTCATGCTTGTCGGAAACGCTCTCCTATCTTCAAATTCGAGAAGTCAAGCGCTCTTAGGGGATAGCCTTGCAGAAGTGTGTTCTCTTGAAGTTTGAAGCGTCTGATCGGTGCAGTCTGGGCAAACCTCCAGCCGTAATCGAACCTTGTGGAACCCATCGCCGTGAGATTCGTCGTGGGACTTGGTTCAAGGGTTCTTTCGGCTAGCGAAAGCTGGGCGGTCATGCAGATGGACGCCGCGTCGCAAGCGCAGTGTGGAGCCACAGATCGGACTTGAAGCGACGTGTGCAGTGATGCACAGCGCACTGCTGCAGAGAACGGCTTTTAGCCACGAGAATCGTGGTAAACAGCGCCGTTGCATTGCAACCACTGCCCGGCCTCCCCATCAGCACGAAAAGTTGCCAGCGGCCGCTACCCCCCCCGAGGCCCGAGACGCGCCGGAAGCGCCCGTGACTGAAAGTGCAGAGGCCCGGGAATCTTTGTGATGGAGGCCAGGCTGGGAAGTGTGTTTTCTACATCTCTCCTCTGTGTGCAGCCAGCGCCCAATCGAAAGCACGGGGGGGGAGGCTCGCTGGCAGCTGCTCGAGCCCGCGGAGGGCGCGCCGCGGCCGGCGAAGCGGGATATGCACAGCGCCGTCGTCGACGCGGCCTCGCGGCGACTCCTCGTCTTTGGCGGCAGCGCAGGCCAAAAGCCCCCGTTTCAAAGCCTCCTTGTCCTCTCTCTCTCCTCCTCCTCCCGCGTATTTTTTTTCCCACCCTTGTTGTTCTTCCGTTCGTCCTCCTGCGGGCTTTCTTTTCTCGTTCCGAGGGGTTGGCGACTACCTGAACGACGTCTGGGCCTTCGGCCTCGAGGCGTTTTGAAGGGCCCCCCCCGAAGGGCTCCGCTTCTCTGCTCTGCTCCTGCCCCTGCCCCTGCCCTGTGTGAATGCAATGAAATGAGGAGCCCCACAAAAGACCCTGCCTGCCCCAAACCCTTAAAGAACGAAGCGAGAACAAAGACCCTAAAAGAATGAAGCGAGAGCCAGGCGAAGACTTGGGAGGAGCTGGGCACGGCCGGGCCTCGGCCCGCAGCGCGAGTCTGGCACTCCGCGATCCTGGACCCCACGGCCCGGGCGATGCTCCTCTTCGGGGGCTTCCGTACAGGAATTAGCCGCGGGGGGCCCTGAGAGTGGGGTGCATCGAGCCTTTTTGGGGGGACCGGCGCGCCGAGGCGACGACGCCTGGGCCTTCGGCTTGGAGGCGCGGGGCGGCGGAGAGCACTGGGGAGGTGCATTTGGGAAAGCTGCGCCCCAGTTGCCTGCGAGGACCACCAGTGGAGGGAGCTGCGGCGCGAAGGCGAGCTCCCTCGAGGAAGGGAGCTTCATTCCGCCATCTTCGACCCCAAGGGCCGGCAGATGGTGGTCTTCGGGGGCCAAGGAGGCCGGGAAACTGCCCCGCTCTTTTTAGGCCTCCCGAAGCTTCGAGGGTGAGACTCCTCGAAGCCTCATTTTTACGCCTAATCATTTATGCCTACTGTATAAGCTGCGCGTCTTGCGAGGCGGGGCTTTTGCAAGCGTGGGCCTCAGCCCTCCGGTCTGCATGTCATATGTCCCTTTCAAAAAAAGAAGCAAGGGGCGCGCCCCTCGTCTCGGCAGAAAAAAAAGTCCAGTTCCCGAGGTGATCTGATTCTGGATGATGTGTTCATCCTGGAGCTCCAGGCGCGCGGCGCTTGAAGTCCGTATAGCGACCAAGAGAGGCAGTCTCAGAATGTCTCAGACCATCGGGTTACTGCGTGGAGGGGGACGCAAGGCTCTCTCAGGCTCTCTCAGGTATATTTTGTCTGGTGCGTGTGCTAGAAGAAATTGCGCTTCCTGGACTGGACGGGAGGCTCCCAGGATCTCTGAGGTATCCTGTGGCGTGTTAGCTGGTGGAGGAGTGGCGCACGGCAGCTGACTATACCTGGCTCAGACCAAGGTTTCCAGGGCCGAGCCGCGCCAGAATAGTTGTCACTTAAAATGCACGGGCGAGCCATGTCGTCGAACAAAGTCAGAATGTTATGTTTTTTTTTTTTCGCTTAATCGGTTGTGCCAGGGCGCCGGTTAGGACTCAGAATGTTTCAAAACGTCCGACATCAAGTTCGAGTTCATCCCCTGCTGTATTAGCATGCCCCCAAAGCGCACCAGCTAATTGTAGGACTGGTTGTTGCTGTTCTTCTGCCTTCGGCTGCGCCCTGCTTGCAGTACTAAACCATAAGCCTTGGCCCCTCTCCGGGTTATCTGCAACAGGGCGCTGGTTGGGACTCAGAATGTTTCAAAACGTCCGACATCAAGCTCGAGTTCGTTACTGCCGTACCTGTCCGGCACGCGTCTCCCGCTGTATTCGCATGCCCCCCCCCAAGTGCACCAGCTTATCGTATAGGACTGGTTGTTGCTGTTCTTCTGCCTTCGGCTGCGCCCTGCTTGCAGCACATTCGCCACAGTCCCTTCCCGCCTCATTCCCTAGTCTAAACCATAAGCCTTGGCCCCTCTCCGGGTGCGTTTGACTGGAGGGCTGGGGGGTTTTTGAGGGTGTCCGGCCCAGCTGAACCGATGTGCCTTTTTTCATATGAGGGGGAGGGGATATTTGTGGATGCCAGTTCAAACATACACTCCCTGTGCCGTTCCTGAGAGCGCCCATGCCCGAACAACGTTAGGCCTGTGCTGCCAGGGCAGCCCTTCTCTAAGAGCATGCCCAAACATCCGTGCGCCGCTCGCTTTCGGCAAAAAAGCCTCCAAGTCGCAGTCTCCTCCTCTCGAAGCGATCCAGGAAGACAAGAGACGCAGCTCCCTCTCGATCCACATACCACTTCCGTGGTAGACCCTGACAGCTGTGCCCGCAGCATGTTTTCCTCGGAGGCCGAGCGCTGGGCGAAGCTGCGGCCCGAGGGCCGGCGGCCAGCGGCCAGGTTCGGGCACTCGGCCAGCTACGAGGAAGCGGCCCACGCTATGCTGCTTTTCGGAGGCCCGGGATCCAAGAAGGGAGGGGGTAACTAATGCCTTTGACATTGAATAATACAAATACATTAACAGCAGATAATGTTGTAGTCAGTGGCACAGACATTTCTTTGTTATATGCCACAAAAACGGAATTAGGAGACATCAACACGGCAAACTCTTCAAACATACAATCAAACACAGACGCTATTGATGTTCTGAACACAAAACAACTTCAAAACTTCCATAATATTAGTTCTTGAACGCACTTATTAGATACTGAGTATCAAACAAACACCACCTTAACGAGCACATTTTACAATAATAAAGGGCGGCAAGTGGAACCCAGGTGGCCGGGTGTAAGGGGCAGGCTTCGGCAAGGAATGCAAGGATGAAGAAGGCTGGGCATCATCCTGCTCAACAAGATGTTGGCTCTTGAGCGCGATTGCTGAAGCGAAAGCAGGATCCAAGCCGAGGAAATGCTGAACGAAGTAGGCTTCTCTGCAGCAACCATCGGGCTGAGCATCGCAACGCAACACTGCTTCATCGAGTTGAACTTGTCAGATGCACCTCGCAGAAGGTGCTCATCACGCCCATCAAATACATGCTATTTTTTTACATCCATATCTAAGCCTGGGGAAACCATCAGAGGGAACTGAGTCCCAGAGATGAGATAACATGAGGGAAGATGATAGGACCTTGAGGTGGAGGTAGAGATCACTGCCAACTGCTAATTTTGTTATTTAAAAACAACCTGTCTTGAAATGAAGCCAGGGGTGCTGCCTGAACCCACCCCAAGATACCTAGAACCAAGCCCCGAAAAAAGAAGCCTTCTTAATGCTTTTTTTTGCGGGGGGAGGGGGGGAAAAGGAGCAGGGATAAAATTTCGGGTTCAGAGTTCAGAGTGTGCGCCCCCGGGTTTCCCCGCAAATCCCGAGCGGAGTGGAATGGAGCGGTCGAGGAACCGAGGATGGCGACAACTTCTTCAGCGACCTCTGGTCCTTGGACTTGGAGGCGCCCGAAGCCGTGCCAACAAGGTCTCTTTCCCACGGTGTCACAAAGTCCCCTCTTCCGAGCCCCGAAGGCAAAGCGCTGGGAGGAGATCCAGGCCGCAGAGGGGCCCCCGGCGCGGTATCTCCACACCTCCGCCTGCGCCGCCGGGCAGCTGCTGGTCTTCGGCGGTCGTCCGGGGCCCCGGCCCGGGGCGGCGCCATGCAAAAGGAGAGAGACTTCCCCCGCAGCAATGTGGAGTTTGCCGAAGCCCCATGCTGTGCGCGATGCTGAGGTGCAGGTGGCCGCTTGGGCGACCTCTGGATGTTCGATCTCGAGGCAGAAGGAGAGAGGGAGCATGGGAGAACTGCAATGAGGCGGTGTGCTTATAAGTTGTTTGTTGGGCTTGTGTTTGGCAACGGGGCTCATGGACCTAGAACTCGCAGCAACTCATTCGGCGCCCTGTGGGCCGTGTGGGCCGTGTGCATGGGGATGTGGAAGGCGCCTTGAAGGCACGTCAACATATGCCAACCGGCGCATCTTAATCGTTTGAACTCCGGCCTGCGTTCCAGATTCATTCCTTAGCATACTTCATGGGTTTTGTGAAAGAGTTTTGACCGACTGCGTTTTTGGGAGCATCATGGACCATCATGTGCATTGAGCCGATCTGCGCTGCGTTGCGTTTCGTGCGTGAATGTGCGTTTCACGAAGCAGTATGAATGTGGCAGCTTGCTACTAACTGGTACTCAGGTACTCGTAGTAGTAGCAGAAAGTAGCCCATGGGGAGAGTAAGGATGGACATTCGAAGGAAGGCAGGCCGGGTAGACTTCATGAGGGGGCAGGGTCGAGTAAGCATCAAGTCAAGCGTCGAGTAAACATCATGTTAAGCGTCCAGTGCGCATCCAGTCCAAAGGCACATGCCCTCCCCGGATGATCCGCCATGCATCTTTCGGCCGCCGCAAAACGCATTTGTTTTTTCTTTGTTATATGCAGGGGACCTTCCGCCATGCATTTTCCGGCCGCTGCAAAATGCACAGGGCCCTCCCCCGGCGTCATGTGGTGTGAGGGGTAAGGCAGTTGTCCTTCCGGAAGCCCTCCATGCATTTTCCAGCTGCCGCAAAATGCACAGGGCCCCGCCCTAATTTCATGCGGTTCGGAAACCTTCAAAAGCACCGCCTCAAACAAGAGAAGTCTTAAATCTTTGAAGAGAATCTCAACTTCAACATTTAGCAAGAGAATCCCAAACCTGCAAAGAATAGCCTTGAAAACGGAAGAGTGTAGTTGAGTTTACATGCTAAATCCCTAAACCCTAAACCCGAAACCGTAAAACCTAAACCCTGAACCCTAAAGCCTGAAAGGCCTCAAGCCGAGCCCTAAGGAGTTAGGACAAACAACATAAGGAAAACTAATCATTCTAAACAGAATAACCCAAAAAAACCCTGAGAAGCTTGGAAGACGAAACAAATTACACAAAAACTAGGAAGAAGCCCTAAGGAATGAGAAGACAAAGCAACATGTCTAACGTTCTTAGCAAACAACAAGACATCTCAAGAAGTGTGAAGAAACATAGGAATACATAACATTCTTAACCAAAACAAGGTAGGACGCACTCTCGTGCGCCCTGCGTTTCCTGTTTTTTTTTTTTTTTTTGGGGGGGGGGGGGGGGAGGGGTGGGGGGTTGGGAAGAGTCATGTTGGGAATATCCATGGCGCTTGCTGGGGTGGGTGGGTGAGGGTACATAACGACAGGCCGAACCATATCCCCCCCCAAAAAAAAATAATAATAAATAAAAATCGGCCCCAAGTATGCCAAAATCCTTTCTTGCCTCAACCTTGAAGCCCAAGCATCTCCAAAACAGTCCAAGCCCAAACGTTCGGCAACCCTCTCTTGCCTAAACCTTCAAGCCCCAGCATCCCCAAAGCAGTCCAAGCCCAAACCTTCCCAAAGCCTCTCTTGCCTAAACCTTAAAGCCCAAGCATCCCCAAAGCAGTTTGAAGTTCGGGGCCCGACACATGCCAGCCGCAACAAGTACCCTTAAATATAAACCCAAAACATAACATAGTATACACAACTTTTGGGTTTTCGTGCCTTTTCAAACAAGGCCGCCTAGGCGAAGCACACAAATTCACTAAAAAGCGCCCGCCCTTCGAGGAATCTGTGCTCTGTCTTCCTGGTTCCCAAAACAGGAATGAGTCTGAAACCTAGGTTTTTTTTGCACTTTCGAACTTGAGCACACCCAACGCATGCCAACAAAACGCAGGGCACTCCACAGCTCGTCCTACCAAAAACAAGCCCTAGGGAGAAGCGAACAAAAAAACAAAAAGAAAGCCCTAAGGAGTAGAAAAAACAAACATACAGAGAGATAACATTTTGACCCTAGGCAGAGATATCCTGAAAGTTTGGGCCTTCGGTCCTAGAAAATGAAAACCCTGTTTGCTAAAGATAAACACCCAAAACGAAACCCGAATGAGTTAGGAAAACAAGCACCCGAAACACAACACAGAAAACTAAGAACGGTCGAAACAGAACAACCAAAAAGAATTCCGAAGAAGAAAGCAATCTTGAAAAGGAGGGCGCACAGTGCTGGACAACGAAGTCCGGGGAGCCCCTCTCAGCTAGCATGCACTAGGCGAAAGCAGCACAAAGCAGATGAGAAGCAAGGAGAGTAGCAAAGGACCGAAGCCAAGTGGCCGAGAGCGCACTTTGCTGTTGCAGGTGGGGAGGCTTCATTTCCTAGCAGAAACAACACGTACGGACAGAGCCAGTGGCCA